TAGAAATTAAAAACTTTTAATTTTCAACACCACAACAATGGTGCCAAGCAGGATAGAGGCTTACTCCTATTTTTTGATCAGTTATTAACATATTTTTTAAACAGCACAAAATTATCTACATAGTAATAATAAGTTAACATCAGATTAAACTTTGAAATTTTGTCGAAACTTTACAATTTACCAATATTAAAATATATGTTATTGTTAAATTGCCGTCTGTGCAATCATTGATGAAAACACTACAATATGTGTGTCAATTCCAACAGTATTTTTGCAATACTTAACTTTGCTTTTTCGGGTCTCCTTATCATTTTACACATGGTAAAGACTCCTTTGCGATTCCTATATAACTATATATTAATACCCATGACTAAATATAAGTTACAGTTTGATTCCGTGAGATGTTATTAAAACTGTCTGAAATATTTCTTGTGTCTGTCTATTACTCTACTTTGCGAAAACGTTTGACAAACAACTAATATGAATCTATAGTCTATGTTTCCCACCAACACACGGTTGCAATATATAGCTTATATGGTTGTATAGCTTATAGCCTGGTGATAACGTCTTTATGTCATATGTATCTGCAACTTTTTCTATTTTGATGTAAATCAATTTTCGGTATCAAGGTAACAAATTTAATGACGCATAGGACACTAGTTTTAATCCATCATTTTTCTGTCTAATTGATGTACTACACACGCGTTTTGGGGGATATGTTTACATGGTTAATATAAAATGTCATTTTGTCATATTATGTTTCATCAATTAATTATGTATTTACTATCTTTGAAAGCAACTATATTTGTCCAACTGGTGAAAGGATTGTTTAACTATACTTTAAACAGAAACCTTAACATTGGGTACTTACTGATGATTATAAAGTCACACAACAGTTTCTAAAAGATGAAGGTCAAATTTGGGGTCAAAACCTATAGGAGTATATTTCAAAAATCATCAAAATGTGTAAGTGACTTTGTATCAGTCTGAATGTCAATGTATATTATGTTGTGATAATAACGTGTGTGACCACTGTTGTTCGTTTTGCAAGCTGCTACTCTCATCCTCACGGAGGTTGTAAGACGGAAATTGACGTCATTATGTATGTTCTGCCGTTAAAAAGGAGGGTATGTCTTAGGTCATTGACATTGTTGATTTGATGATTATTGCGTATCCGACGCCAAAGCTCGTCTCACATTTATTATATGTTCTTTGTTGGATGCAAGTGCCGGCCACGTACTAAAATTGACGCTGAATTGATTCATAAACTGCTTCGAAACACGATTGTCTAAAACGATTACATATCTGACCTGAGATCCTTAGCCGTCGTGTATTAAAGCAATAACGAAAATGTCTTCTGACTCAGAAGCTGAATACCGAGTTGTCAGGTAGAACTGTTTACTAGAGCACACAAAAGAGCAATGACATTTATATGCAAGGATCATGTCTTGTTTTTCGCCTTATTATCAGTTCGTATGAAAACAACGGACGGGCGTGTTGGATCATTTGCTGTACCTTTGCAAGTCGAAGTAGTGAAAGGGATTTGACATTAAAAATTATATCAGTAGGCCTTGGTGGCCACAAAAAACAGGTACCTATGGTATTTCTCTAAATCCTTCCATTTCTTTGTGATGCTTATAAACACTAAACAATCCCCGGATTAATATATGATTGATGTGTTTAGGGTCTTTCTTAGATATTTATTTTGTAAGATTCCGTTGTTCTAACTCAGAAGTTGCCAGATCTGTCAACAAATTCCTAATCTTCGCTGGCAAGCTAAAACAAGATTAATGGTTTTATATTTATCATCATGGTCAACAATGTTCCTTCCAAAATATACAAAATACACACAAAAAAGAAACTTTTCATGGGTACTTAGGGTTATAACCTCACCTTGGAAAATATGATGTCAATGTTATATATAATTTGAAGCAATATCTATAAGTATGTAACAACGTTGGTAATTGTCTCTTTAATGAAGGTCAAACTTGAGGTCAAAAGACATATGGGCCGATTTAAAAATCACAAAAATGAAAAGAATGCTTTAGTGACTCTTTGAGTCAACCTCAAACGTGTGTTTATAGCGTGCGTAACTACCGTTGATCCTAATGCAGGTTGCTTTACTCCTCCTCATGAAATTGTAATTAGCGAATGATATCAGTGTGTGTTTTCTGCCATTCAACAAAAACGGCATGTCTCATGTGATTTTTATTGTTCATTTGATAATCATCGCGTACCCAACGCACATGCTGTCCCCACATGTGTTCTATTGGGCTTTGCTCGGGCAAAACTGCATGCAACTGCAAAACGGTGACGCCGTTCTGAGCCGAAAACGGTAACCAGAGCTGCATCAGTACTATGGGTGTATTACCTAAGTACCTGTACCAGTACTTGCCAGAACCAGAACTAGGTTTCTGCTAAGAACTGCAATACTAGTACATGTTCTAAAAGTACAGTGCCAGTATCACTTTTTGAAGACAGCGATGCAGTACTAGTACCAGTAGTAGCAACATCTTTAGAGTAATTCAGTATCAGTACCAGTTCTTGCAAAATCACTTCAGTACGTACTGCAGTACCGGTACCAGAAATGCAGCGCTGTTCATAGCGTGAGCTGTGTTGGGCTTTGCGTTGACCTCATTGTTTTATGGAAGGATTTTAACATACCCTACTGCATTAAGATTGCATCGAACGATGATCAACTCTCTCGCAACCAAGACCATGATGCACCATAAACCACCACCACCAAAACTATCTTGTTCTTACGCAGAACATTGTAAAAATGTCTCATTCATGGCTTATAAGCACTGACCCTATCGTCAGCAAAGCAACTGACACTGACGCGTGACTTGTCGGTTAAGATCACAATTCGCCATTTATCTCGGGTCCAGAGCCTATGATGGCGAGTCCAAACTAAGCAGGCGGCTCCGTGACGTACAGTTAAAATTTGTTTACGGCCGACGCGCACGAATTGAAATTTTTGTTGTATGAGACGATTATGTTGGTCTGAGACGAGATCCCCAGCCGATATGTAGTCATGTAGTCCTTGACTTAAGCGATTACGTTAATGTAATGAAACTGTCTTATTTACATGACGTCGCTTTTGGCCTACCTGATCTCTGTGTTTTTCCAACTGACCTTATATTTGCATACAAATCGTGTTCTCAGGTTGTGAAATGTTTGCCTAGAGAACACAACGTGAAAGTTAAAGGTATTTATAGAGGTGCTGATTCTCAAAATACCGATAACCTGGTTTTCTGTTATTTTCAGATAGCTGTGGCAGACATGTTTTATAAAAAATGAAACAGAGTAAGTGATAAAAATTATATGTAACTGTGTAAAACAAAGGTATTATAATGAAAACGGGATAGGTCAACATAATGTTTTGGCCAAAAGAGGAATAAGAAAGCGTGCTTGCCAATGCACGATACAATGACACACAATCTTGAGGTCGTGTTCTCATTCTACTGAGGACAATAACAAAATATCGATAACATTCACATAAAGTCATCGAAAACCTGTTAACAGGTAATGAAGTATGTAAACTTTTATAGATTATAAAAACATGTTTTGACCCTTTTATGATATACCTGGGACCGTATTAATAAAGCTCTTGAGGGAAAAAAATTCTCTTATCTTAAGATTTTCCTAAAAATACGTAAGATTTCCCTTAGTTTTTTAAAAATAATCCATAGTTGCTATTCAGAAAAACTCTTAAGATAAAAAATCCTCAATTTTTTTTTCTTAAATATTAAGCTACCCCATATGCTCCCCTAATTTCTAAGGAAAAGTTAAGAGATGAAAATGAAAAAAAACAATTGGCCGACTAGCGGACGATTTTTTCATTCCCTTTCTCAGATAAAAATGCAGCTACTTTCTATCTTGAAATCAACGAAGTTATAATCATAACTATCCGATGAAAATAATTCGTTCGTATATTATCAGTATAAACAACACAGCTATGCCAGTTGAGGCAATTTCTGAATATTCTAACAATTTAAATAAATGCTTTATTGTATGAAGTACTAATTTAACGAATGCAAAATTGACTTTATTTTATTTAGTTTCGCCAATTGTTTTCTCGTTTAGGGCAAGCTGATTTTTTTTACTTGGGGTCCACATGCCGCTTTTCATGGAATGGCAGTTACTTGTCACATTGAAGATCACATTGAATTCTGTTTAAGCCGGTGTTAGGGGGCGTGGGCAGTAATTTGCACTTAACAATAGCGTCCAAAAACAAACTCAATCAAACCGAGCCTGCAATATTTTCAATTCTGCCGTGTTGGGCTTTCTTTAAAAATTCTTTTCTTCTCTATTTTATTATTGTCTGAAAAGTTATGTTTCCTGGATAGCTCTATCCTTACATTGATGTTGGGAACATGCAATAAAATGGAGAGATAGAAGTATAATAGTGCAAGGACATATATTTCCGATATTGTTTGGTCAACATTATACTGAATGTCATTAAGTTACAATAAGACAATAGGTAAGACAATTGAATATTTATATTAAATAGACAGCTGATAAGGTTTCAAAAATGTTAAAAAAACAACCTCCAATTTACAAATATACAATCAAGAAAAAGATGTAGAAATCATTCACCTGCATTCAGGACTTATTCTGCTTAAAGCATTTGGTAAGTAGATGTACGTTGATATGCGATAGTATACAAACAGATAAAGGTCAAATATAACGCTTTGTTTTATTTGAAAATATTAAAGTATGTTATATAAGAATAAGATTAAAATAATTTGTAAAGTTTTAATCATCCGCTTTTGTCATAAAACACCAGATAAATGTTTGCATAACGCACCGTTTAGTTAAAACTTGTTTCGATTACTTCCCCTTGCTTGTGACGTCAGAGATGTACTTCCGAAACGCCGCCATATTGAAACGCTATATATATTGAACTTTCTCAGATAACTTACACTGAATAAAAATTAAACAATATAGATTTTTCTGACGACTCTGATATTATGATGAAGATGTAAATAAGACCTTATATGTATGAGCCAAGAGCTGTAAGGCAGGAGGACCAAAGCGTGTCCGACTCGGACTCTGAGTTTAAAGACAGTTCTGATGATTCATCTATCGGCAATGTTGACGAGTGGATATTGTGTTTAGACTTGTTCTTTTTGTCTTTGATTAATTTTAATCTCACAATCTCTTTTAAAATATAATCTAGTTCGATTTTTGCGATTTACGTATATTAATCCGTTATAGCACCAAATTTTACGACCCCACCCACCTCTGCCAAAGAAAAAATATTGGCTCTCTAGCTTTCTATGCACCCACTTTCAAGAGAACGTCTTCCGATCTGTAAGATTATCTTAATAAATGCCTTTAAAAATTCGAGCTTTTATAGTTATATAAAATATTATTTTCAGGTGTGAATGTGGATGCTGCATGCACATGCCTACAGTCCATGAGAGAAAATGTAGCCGGTCAACAAACATAGTCGATGGAAAGGCAGAAGCAGAATGTGTGCCATGCATCATACTTCACGAGGGGTTCCAGGTGAACTGCTCCAACATTCATGAATTGGAGACCACGTATTATGAATTTATTTACAACAATGGGCCAAGGGAAGAACATCAAGACATTCATGAGTAAGTAAAATAAAATTCAGTGTTAAATAATCTGATTTTGTTTGTTAGAAAGATAAATTATTTCATGAATTTATAAACTTATTTTTACAAACATTTAAATCAATTTTATCTGGTATTTTGTTCATCTTTTCCTGCCAGTAAAAATAAATTTTGAATTTTGAAATGGTGGCACGGTACAGTAGCTCAGTATGTTAGACCTATGACTTGTCACTCCTGAGTTCCTGGGTTTGATCCTAGATAACACCCTTCGGATTTTTCAGTGTTTCCTACCTACCAAGAGGTGTTTGTAAGAAATGCAGGTAATTCTCGCATGTATCAGTGCTATACACAGGGCATGTAAAAATCCAAGGGGACTATTCAATAAGATCTAGGGATTGATTCTGGGATACACTTGTATCTCATAGCTGTCTCTGAAGTCTAGTCATGTCTATGTCCCCTTGAAGCTGTTTGTCATTAATGGAAAACAGATAGATATTTAAAATGTAATGATGAGGTAAAAGTTATTGAAATACACTAGACCAACTTCACACTTTTGCCGGAATTATAATTGATCATTTTTTTGTTTTCCGGTTACCGGCAATTTACAAGATGGATTTATGGGTTACTGCTAAGAAAGTGTAAACGTGTCATTCCTGCATGCGCAGTCAACGCCATTAGGGAACAGTTTCCAGAGGAGTACAGTGGTTTCCGTTACCACCAGTAGTTCAAATGTTCTGTATATAATCAAAAACAAATAATTCTTAGTATTTTTGTATTTGTTTGAATTTTAATCACGCAGGTTTTATCCCCATTAATGATTTTAGTCTTATTATGGTCTATGCATGCTTTCATATATGGTTTATTCTTTATTTAGCACACTTATAGTCCCAAGAAGCTACAGACTTCCAAAGATCACTTCATGAAATCATAAAATGTAGTTTTTAGTTTAACTATTTGAGGAATATGGAGCTATAGTATTCGGCTATGTGCATACTTTGGTTAGGTTTGGGTATGCAAGTTGGTATCTAAACAAAAAAACACATAATTATTCTCTTCCGATTTCTAACATTACGCAGACATGCTTTATATGCAGAAACATAAGTTTATTAAAAAATATGATAGACTTAAAAACTAACCCTAATGATATTATTCAACTGTAATATTTTTTCTATATACATTTATCAATGACATTCACCAGCTGGTCAATTTACATTTATATATTCAGTTGACTGTACAATACAAGAAAATCCTTTTTGTGCCAGGGTCTGTTCAGTTAAAGGTACATTATGCTTCAGAAATCAATATTTTTTTATTCTTTAGATATGTCAAACGTGTGTTAAATTGTGCAAAATATAGTCAATGCATATGGCAAATGAGCATTACTTTGAAAAACTGTAAAATACCGAAAGAATGGTTTTTGGGAAATAAAATTGGTAAATATTCTGAGGCATAATGGGCCTTTTACAATTTGCAAACAAACGTTTAACTCATTCACTCGAAATCATAAAAGGGGGATGTGCTCAGGAACAATTACTATCGTATATAAAGTCGACAGTCATGACCTATTGTTAGAGTTAGATAAAAATTATGCTTGGCATTCCATTGCTATTAATTCTACTGCTTGCAGAGAAAAGATAAACACATATTAAGCACAATACCTTAAATCAAATGACAATAAAGTCAACCCAAGGTAAAAAAATCACCAAGTTATATATCAAAGACAAGTAATGAGCTAAAGAAAAAATACAAACTATTTTTTAGCACCAGTGGCCCCTTATAAGGTATCAAAGTTAAATTTCTTATCATATGAATATCTATTAATACGGCTGACTGGTGGAAAGTGTAAATGACTATTTTGAGATCAGGTGTAAGGCTTATCGTTTTCAATAAATTTCCAAGACATCATAGATTCATTTTTGTTTTGTTTTTAAAGTCATTGTAAATGTATATAATTCCTTTGTAAAGCGCCTTTGAACATTTTATTTTTTGAGAAGGGCGCTATAGAAATGTGGTAATCATTATTATTATTATTATTATCATTATTATTATTATTAGATTCCATAGATCCAAGATTTCTGGTATACACATATACATATATGTTATGGTGTAATACATAACAATTAAATTTAATTGATGTTTAAGGGTTATACAATTGTAACTGGTAAAACATTTTTATAAATTGTGAATTATGTTATTTTCATAATCTTAGGTTGATTCTCAAAGTTCTCTTAAATTTAACACACATTAATTGAACCAAATCTTCCGGAACAAAAGTTATGCTGCTTTTGATGTAGATAATAATGATTTCGTAGCCAATCTAAGATAAGCCTACAGTTATCGGTCGAACCTGCTTACATGGTTTTTCACAAATAACTCCTTAGAAACACCTAGTCTTTTGGTGTGCTTTGTGCCAATGGCAATGGTCTTGCTTTCATTTCCTTATTTCCTTCCTTTCACACGCTATTCTGTTAGAAAAGTCTCTTAGTCTAAGCTCTTTAGCATGAGCCATCAAAGCAGTAACATACCCTTAAACATAAATAAGATTTTCACCTTTATGTTACAAGAAAGCTTAGTTCAACAATAGTTGAAGTTAGTTACATGGAGTAGTAATTAGCATCTACAAAACAATGGGACTGAAATATAGCTTTTTGTTACACAATTCAATTAGGTTGGTCACTGTGAAATACATCATTATACCTCAAGTGATATATTTACTATGTCATTGGGTAATTATCTGCTTATGTCACATCACTCACATGGCAACATCACAATTGGATCCAGTGACATTTCATAATTGTTCTTTTATGCAAACCAGGTAAAGCTTAGTTATATTTTTTTGTCGTTTTGTTCATTACAATTGAGTAAAAACTCAAAAACAAAATGTTTACACTTATCTCCCGTGAACACTTTGTCAAATTCATGGGAAAGTGATTTTTATATAAATGTATAAGCCTAAGAATATATATTTAAAGATAAATTGTGACACATGTTATATGACTATCATTTTGGAGTCCACTTCCTGGCACTAACCAGTGTCATATGAGGAGGCATCGACAAGACCCCAGTCAGACTTGAATCCACAATCCCAGACTTAAGAAGCAGCTACCTAATCACAAGACAAATGCTTCTTATTGTCATTACTTGGTTTAAACAAAATAATTTAAGTTTGATTGTGTAGGAAGCTATTCCTAAATCTGTTCCTGGAACAAACCAATGAGTTTAAAAGTTCTTACTCAAGGAAGCAACAACTTGCTCCTGCCAGGGTTTGAACCCATGCGACTAGCAATCATAAGATAACTAGTCCGAAGCGGTAACCACTCGGCCATGCAACCACTTCGTACGATACGTTTGCTCAGTTTTTACATCTTTGACGACAGGGTCGCCCTTCATGCCTATTAGGTAAGACACGCTGTTCTGTTCAACTCCATGTTTTGTCTTTCTCACAATCCTCTTGGCATTTTCATTGAAGTGTAGAGCACCCGCTTTAGATCTAAGATAATGAAGTATTTTGATAATTATTTATGTCAAACAAAGTTTTAAAAAGAAAAGAAACCATACACAGTAATTCATTAAAATATTAGAACAAACAATAACAAGGCAATTTTCTTATAAATACCCATCAACACATGAACACTACTAAGGTATCTAACAGCGAAGTAAACAAGAACAGGAATAAACATAAATGCCACATTTATTTTGGCAAAATTATTAATTATATTTTAAGTTAACTTTCTCAGGATACAACAAAACATCACACGTCTATTTCGTTACCTAGATTCCATGTATGTATGCATGTAGTGAACAGACTTTTGGGCCCAACTGCACATGACATTATGAAAAGCTTCTGAATCGGATGTTTGCTGAGCTGGGGAACAATTCTAAATGTCAGTTTACAAAAGCTTATTCTCCACAACCTTACATAATTCTATACATAATGTGGCTTGAATCCTAAAAGAGAAAAAAATAATGCATTTGTTTATCAGCTATTTCTCAATTATGCTATAAAACAACCCTTAAAATGGTAAAACGTAAGAATTCATGTTATTGGGGTTAAATGACATGTGATACTTCATGCTAATACATGCAATTTCTTCCAATTAAACAGTTGTGCTTAAATGTTATCAATCAAGTAAACTTTTTAACATTTCAGTCACTCACGGAATGTTTACACAAAAATCTCTATAGCATAGTCAGAACTCATGTTTCAACCTGCAATGAACATAAAATTTAATCCATGCTATCAAATAATATCACTTTTATATCATTTATATAATAATATTGTCTTTAACAGTATACTGCATTCATTGTACCTTCATCCATAGTCGATCTTCAAAGTCTCCATGTTCACACCTCGGAAACTTTTCACCATGACCCTCATGTATGTTGGTCACATGGTTGAGCATAGACAGCCACTTTTGCTTTACCATTTTGCCGTCACCATCACTGTTGGCCACACCAATAAAGGTTTCCGGTTGGGGAAAACAAACAGAATTATTTATTTATGTAATTTATCATTTTGATTTCCATGTGTAGTAATAAGGCTGTCATTGAGGGCAAATGTTTTCAATATGAGTGTCATTGAATTTGATATCAATATATCAAAGGCCAAATACAAATGATTTATCCATATATCCAAGAGCTATTAGTGGAAAACATTTTATTACATGCTTTTCAGTGGTTTATAGAAATATCTCAGTTAAAAAATCACTGATATTTTCACTGATTGAAACAGACTTACATTGTGAAATACCAGCGTGCACAGTATTTGAAACCAACTTAATGAAGTGACTAATGTAAATGACGGCAAAATGTTTTATCATTTGGCGCGCTTTTAATTGTGTATTCGGTTACAATGTCTTTTTAAACGTTTATTTGCATATAATAAAAAGACAATTTGTATAATTTAGTGTAAGATCGAAATAAATTTCACCTCGTGAACACGAAAAAAACCATAGTCTTACATTTATAATAAACATTTGTAGTATAAACAGATAAACAAGATAAATGGTAATCTAATATGCACAT